CCCCCCCCCCCGCCCCGGTCTCTTCATGGCTTCATAGCTGGCTTCTCTTTAGCATGAGTAAGAGTCCGCTGTCTGGGTGGATCACAGTTTATTATCATCGCCTACTACGGACATCTTGGTTGTTTCTTAGTTTGGGCAACCACGAGCACAGCTGCTACAAACACTGTGGGCAAGGTGCGTGCGTGTGGACGTAAGGTTTCAGTTAATTCGGGCGAACGCCAGGGAGCAGGACTGCTGGATCATGCGGTAAGAGTGTAATTCATTTTGTAGGAAACTGACAACCTGTCTTGCAAACTGGCCGCAGCATTCTGTGTTGCCACCGCCGCAAACAGGGGTCTGTTACTCCACACCCTCTCCAGCGTGTGGTGGTCAGAGGTCTGGACTTTGGTGTTCTGATAGGTGTGGAGTGTAATCTCACTGTTTTAATTTGTTTTCCTGATGACAAATGATGTGGACTCAAGTGGTCTTTTCAACTCCCTCAGGACGAGGGGAAGAAGCCCCCTACACCTGCATGAGGGCTGGGCAGGGGACACATGTGGGGCCACCTGGGGCCAACTCGGAGGAGACTGTCCTGACGCCGAACCCCACCTCCCCCAGGCGTGCCTCTCACCCACACCAACCCTCTCCTCTGGACAACCTCACCATGACCCCGGGGGCCAAATGGCACCACACACCAAGGACCCCAACCTTGACCCGGGGCCCTGACACTCACCTCCCACTTTCCCTCTCCACTGTGTGCAGGCAGTGGCCACAGCGGCCTGTCTCGAGAGGCCGTCCACCTGGGTGCTCATTCCCGACCCCTTCTTCCCTCTAGTAGCCCCGCCGAAAACACCAGCACATCATTTTGGCTCTCTCAGTATCAGTCTCCTGTGCCTTCCCTGAAACACCACCACTGGGGGGCTTCACACTTAATCTCCTGGAGTTCTGCCTGGACGCCAGGAGGCCACACTCCCCTGGGGTCTCTGGGGCTTTCTATCACCAGTTCATTCCTTTTTACTGTTTTTTTTTTTTTTTTTAATGTGATAAAATACACATAAAATTTACCATTTTAACCGTTTTTTACGTGGGCAGCTCCATGGCATTGGGCACATTCGCAGTTGTGAACATCCCCAGCCTCCACCTCCAGAACTCTCTCATCATTGGGACACTCTGCTCCATGAAACACTAGCTCCCCGTCTCTCCCCCCCGCCCTCAGCTTCTGACCCCCACCATCCACCGTCTGTCTCTATGATCTGCGTCCCCCACGGGCCTCCTGTAAGTGGAATCATCCGGTGCTTGTCCCCTCGCGACCGGCTTATTTCACGGAGCACAATGTCCTCCAGGTCCATCCGTGTGGTGGCAGGCGGCAGCACGTCTTTCCCGTTCATTCGAGGCCGAGGAACATTCCGCCGTGTGGATGGACCACGTTTTCTTACCCACGCATCTGTCGACGGACACTGGGTTCTGGCACATCTTAGCTGATGTGAACAGTGCTGCTGTGAACGTGGGGTGCACACACCTCTTCAACGTCATTCTTCTGCGTATGGATGTGCAGTTTCCCCAGCACCATTTGTTGAGAAGACTGTCCTTTCCCCATTGAGTGGTTTTGACACCCTCGCTGGACGTCATTTGACCACATACGTGAGGGTTTATTTCTGGGCTCTTTATTCTACTCCATAGACCTAGATGTCTGTCTTTATGCCAAGATTGTTTTGGCTATTCAGGGTCCCCTGAAATTTCATATAAAATTTAGGATGGGTTTTTTAATTTCTGCAAAAAACATCATTGGGATTTTGATAGGCATTGCTTTGAGTGTAGATTGTTTAGGTAATATTATCATTTTAACAATTTTTTTCAAGTTTGTTTATTTATTTATTTATTTTGAAAGAGAGAGAGAGTGCATGCGCAAGCGGGGCAGGGGCAGAGACAGAGGGACAGAGTCCCTAGCAGGCTCCTCACTGTCAGTGCAGAGCCCAACATGGGGCTCGATCCCACAACTGCGAGATCACAACACGAGCCGAAATCAGGAGTCGGATGCTTAACCAACTGAGCTGCCCAGGTGCCCCACAATCCTTTCGATTTCTCTAGAACTATGACAATGCCTCTACTTTCATTTCAGATCTTAGTAATTTTTTTTTAGTCCATTAGTTAGAAGTTTGTCAACTTTGTTGATCTTTTCAAAGAACTGCTGACTTTCTCTACTGTTTTTCTGTTCTCTATTCCATTTATCTCTGCTCTGATCTTTATTATTTACTTCCTTCTGCTAGCTTTGGGTTTAGTTCTTTTTCTACTTCAAGTTGTAAATCTAGGTTGTTGATGAGACCTTTCTTGTTCTTAACGTAAGTATTTATAGTTGTAAATTTCCCATTGGCACTGCTTTTGCTTTACCCCAAGGGTTTTGGTAAGTTGTGTTTTCGTTTTCATTTGTCTGTAAGTATTTTCCAATTCCTCTTTGATTCATGACTTCTTTAAAAGTGAGTTGTTTAATTTCCACAATTTTGCAAACTTTCCAGTCTTCCTTCTGTTAGTGATTTCTAATGTCACGCTGCTGTGATCAGAGAAGGTGCTTTGTAAAGTATCTATCTTTTAAAATCTATTGAGGCAATGTGTGCCTGCCCTCCTCTTATAAGGACCTTTGTCACTGAATTTAGGGTCCAGCTAGATGATCTAGGATGATCTCTTCATCTCAAGATTCTTGACACATCGACAAAGGCCTTTTTTCAAATCACGTCATATTCACATGTTCTAGGGGTTAGGAGATGAACACATCTTTTAGTGGAGTCATCATTTCACCTGCGATAGACAGTCTGCCTTCTGGTCCCCCCAAGTCCACATCCATCCCACATGTAAAATATACTCACCCCATCCCAACATTCCCAAGAGTCTCAACCCATTCCAGTAGCAGCTCCAAATTCCAAAATCTCCTCGGACACCATTAGCCAACAGTCCCAGACCTTCCCTTCCAAAGCATATGAATCAGGCAGAGGTGAGGCTCTGGGTATCCACCTGGGTTGAAATTCTTCTCTAGCTGTGGGTCCTATGAAACTAAAATCACATTGTCTGCTCCCCATATACAAGGTTGGGAAAAACACGGGATATTCCTCCTCCAAAGGGTAATATATTAGAAGAATAGAGGGTTCACTGGTCTCAAGCAAGTTTGTAAACCAGGCAGAGAAACAGCACTGTGGGTTGAGTGAGATTCTGCTCTCTGGGCCCACGATGGCCTCACCATCTGGGCCTAAGGCTCTGCCCTGGGAGTCATTTCTTCTTCACGAAGCGTAGCTCTGTCAGCCTATCTCCTGCCTGCAAAACTTTGGAAGTCTGACAGCCTGTTCTTGTTTCTTCCCGTCTCTGTCCCCTTCAGGAAAAGGTGATGGTCGTTCTGCTGGTACAACATTCTCAAAAATGTTGTGGGTCTCCCATATGTGTTATGGATCCAGGCCATTAGACAGGATGGTTCTCCACAGATCCATTCCTAGTTTCTGTGAGACAGTTGAGTCACACATCCAATGTCTTCAGCAAAAGGTTGTCCAGCCACACTCTCCACCTTCCCTCCAGAGCATGCTTTCCCAACAGTGAAACCCCAGTATTCCGGTCTGTTTGTAGTCGGGACAGGCCTAAGTGCTGGCTCCTTTTTGCTTAGCAGTCCCTTCCCCAACTCACATCTCTCATATTTTACTGACAGCAGCAAGACACCGGACCACACCTCCACACTTGGCTTGGAGACCTCCTGGGCCAAATACCCAAGTTCATCACCTCCACGTGGTCAGAGGGCGCAGTCCCCCTGTGCTTGCTGCCCCCGTGTGATGGTGACTGCTTTTCTTCTGCGTCCTCTCTTCCTTGTCAGAAGCATACTTGACGTTCCTATTTCTACCAACATTGTGCTTGTGGTGACATGTATCCTCCTAGGTGACAGAGTGGTTTCCCTGCGCCCCTCACCTCCTTTGGGGCCACCAGAGTCACCTTAAATGACCTTATTTCCAACAGCAACCCAGCCTTTTTCATCGTCTCTCAAAATTCTTCCAGCCTCCACCAGTGATTCAAGTCCAAGGCCATGTCCACATTTCTAGGTATTTGTTACAGCAGCACCCCACCTCCTGGTACCAAAATCTGTTCTGGTTTCCTGTAGCAGCTGTGACAAAGTACCCTAAACCTGGTGGTTTAAAACAACAGGAATTTACTTCCTCACAGATGTGGAGTCCAGAGCCCAAAATCAAGGCCCTGGCAAAGCTGAGCTCACTCTGGAGGCTCTAGGGGAGGATCCTTCCTGTCTCTTCCAGCTTTGGGTGGCTCAGGTGCTCCTGGGCTTGTGGCCACATCACCCCCTGTGACTCTGCCCTCACATCACCTCCTCCTCTGTGTGTGTGTCTCAAATTCCCTCTGCTCTCTCTTGTAAGGACACTCGTCATTGGATTTAGGGTCCGCTCGGGACATTCACGGGTTATCTCATCTCATGATTCTTAATCTTAATTATAGATCCTTACTCAATTTAGAAAAAAATACTTTTCCCCAAAAGGTCACATTTACAGATTCTGGGGTACGTGGACATATTTGGGGGGCTACTGCTCAACCTACTACTCCCTCTGAAACATTCCTCAAGTTTGTCCAATTCTGCCGTCTGCAGTGCACCACCCTGGTCCGCCTCCCCTGGACTCTTGCCACTGATGCCCCTGCTGGCCTCTCCTGCTTCCGTTTCTGGGCCCCAGTGACCCATTTTCCTCACGGCCTGAGGACTATTTTAAAGCTATACCTCTTGCCGCCTTCTCCTTGCACTTAATTACGCACAACTGACTCCTACTGACGACTCACATCCTAGCGTAAGTGCTCGCCCAGCCCTCCGTCCACCAGCCCCGCGCACGCCCGCCGCCCATCATCCCCACGAGATCTTGACCTGCCCACCTGTTCACTGCCACCCAGCAGGCAGTCAGCCCTCCATTTGTGAAAGAACAGAGTCTCTCTGAGATGAAACCCCCCGGCACGGTCACACTGTCCCCACCGCCCGCCAGCACTCTCTCCCGTTGTGGGGGCCCCCCACACTCCATCTGGCCTTCCCTCCACTCTCGTCATCACCATGTCTCACGTCACGCTGTCTGGGGGTACGCAAAACAAACTGAGAGTTTTGTTTTCTGACTTAAAATCTCTAAACAGAGATGTCAAAACAACAAAAACCCCACAAAGAACCGTAGAAGTATCGCTTCTACAAATGAGAACCGGTTTGTCATAGTTTCTATTTGTGGCCTAACTATTACCTCGTTGAAAGACGAAAGGTTAAGTTTTTTGGCGATGAACTTCTTCAGGTGCAGGACGGTCGCCTGGGCCGAGCAGCGGATCCACTTTCGCTTCAAGCCCCGCAGTTTGCTGCTGTTGCACTCCAGACAGATGCTCACCTGTGGGAGGAGGACACAGCTGGGCAGCCCCGCAGACAGGGGTCCGCGGGCTGCCTCTCGGGGCCCCTGCTCCCGTGCCCACTTGTTCCGTCAGACGCGAGAATGCGGACTTCGTGAAACCGGACGTCTGTCCGACCTCAACACTGTGGGAGGGGGTTTCGTTTTACTCGTTTTACACACGTTCTCTTAAAATCTCTGTTTGCCATTTTGTGAAAGACAATCTAACAGTGTCTCGTATTCTGCCTTATAAACATGCTACTTGAAAGTCAATCTGAGGGGCACCTGGGCGGCTCAGTCGGTTGAGCGTCTGACTCTTGATTTCAGCTCAGGTCTGGAGCCCAGGGTCGTGGAATCAAGCCCTCGTCAGGCTCCGCACCGAGCTCGGAGCCTGCTTGAGATTCTCTCTCTCTCCCTGCCCTCCCTTGATCGTGTGTGTTCTCGCTCTTTCAAAGAAAAATAAACAAATAAATATTTAAAGTAAATCTGAGAATTATTTATCCGTTGTCCAGATGGCGCCGGTCTCAGAGTTTAGCTGATGCAGACGCAGCCTGTCCTGAGCTTCCGGCTGGTGGGACACACGTGCGTCTTCCCACAGGGCCCGGGCCGAGTGTTCTGCTGGCATGAGGGGGAAGGACACACGGCCATCTGAAGCGGGTGCCCCTGCCTACGCGAGATGCACCAAAGAAGGCTTCATAAAGGAAGTAAGTGTGCAGCGTGGCCTTGAAGGAGGATGGCAGACTGACTAGAGAAAAAGTACTCTTAGCACAGGAAAAAGCACGAGCGAAGCCACAAAGTTTGAAAGTTCATAGTCCCTCCTGGATGATCAACAGGACAGGGGATCACGGTAGGTCATGTAACAAGGAACCACAAGGTAACGAAATAAAAGGGATTCTAGCCCACGGGATGCCTGGCAGATGCAATACCAAGGACCCCAGGCCACGAAGGCCACAAAGCGTTGCAGAGAAGGTCCGGCCGGACAGCGCCTCCAAAGAGTGAGTCTGCAGTAGCAGCCACAAAACAATGGCACAATCAGGGGCGCCCGGGGGGCTCAGATCACGATCTCGCCATTCAGAGTTCGAGTCACGCGTCGGGCTCTGTGCTGACAGCTCGGAGCCCGGAGCCTGCTTCGGATTCTGTGTCTCCCTCTCTCTCTGCCCCTCCCCCGCTCTCTCTCTCTCAAAAATAAATAAAGATTAAAAAATATTTAAAAGCTGGCACAGACTCTCGAAAATTCAGATAAAAGAATTAACAAGGAATTAATGGAAATATGTAGGCCTAAAATCACTAGAGATACAAAAGAAGGAATTAAAAACAGAACACACTATGAATAAAGAACAGACAGGTATAAAAGATAAGCAACTACAACTTCTAAAAATAAAAGCAGAGTCACTTAGACTAAAAACTCACAGGTGGCCGAACCACAAATTAGTCTCAGCTGAAGGCAGACTAATTTCCTACAAGACCAATATGAAGAAATTACATAAAAGAAGTACAGAGGCCAAGGGGTCAATTAAAATAACAAAACAAAGGAAAAGTAAGAGACAGGGTAATGGACCGAGGTGTCTGACAAACTTGTAACGGGTTCTGGAGGAAGAAGGCAGGAGAAGGGAAAGGCAAAATTTAAGAAATAACGACTAAGGATCTCCCCAAAATAATGGAGGACATAAATTCTCAGATTTAGGAAGCAAAATAATAAGAAAGAAAGAAAGAAAGAAAGAAAGAAAGAAAGAAAGAAAGAAAAGGAACCCTACACCTACACACAAGTGGGGAAGGCGCCAGGAAGGAGCAGGGGACAGCTCTCCAGATGTGGCCACGGAGCCTGGAAAGCAAGGCGCTGGCGGAAAATGCACAGAGAAATTACCACTCAAGACTTAAAATGAAACAAAGCCATCTGTAAACAAAACAGAGAACGACTAGGAGGGGGTACAGTTGAAGAAAAGAGACCCATGTCCAGGAGGAAGACACGGGAAGCCACAGAAAGGTGAGCCGGGAGGCGGGACAAGAGTCCGCAGCCGGGTTTGGGTCTGGGAAGAGAGAAAGGAGGCGGGAGGGTGGCCCCAGGCAGAGTGAGCAAGGCCCTTGTGTCATTCGGGGAAAGGGAGACTCTCGTTAACTTCAGACCTTTAAAAAATGTAAACATTCATTTTAGAATTTCACAGCCACTAAAAGAATAAAAATAGGACATATAACTTGTCAACTAGTTGCTAAGTAGAGGCAAAAAAGGGATTGAAGAAAACTTACTAATTCAATAGAAGGTTAAGAATGGGGGGAACATAAAAAAACATGAATGGACAGCACAAAGAAACTCAGAGTTACTGCTAATCACGGTAAATGGAAAACGTGAAATAACTTGTCAGCTAAAGAAAGTTTCTCATTTGATTTTTTAAAAAAACCCAGTTCTGTGTTGTGACAGGCGTCACATTTAAGAAAGTTAGGAAAAAAATGGAAATACCAAGCAAATATTAACCAAAGAAAGCTGACACAGCTACATTGATATTAGAAAAAGCAGACTTTAAGAAAGAAAGCGTAATCACAAAAAATTCCCTAAGGATGGGAAACACTTCTAAACTTGAGTGCACCTGGGAACAACCTTAAACTGAATGAAGGTTGAGGGACAGTAAAATCCTTAAGTGTGATGGGGGCCTTCTGTGTGCTTCTCTGTAAGTGCCAGACTGAATTCTGTCGCCAGCAGTGGACACCTGTCAGGACACAGGACACCTGGCCATCTGCTCCCAAGCCCAGAGCAACAGGCATCATGCAGACCAGGGTGCGGTAAGCAGATGCAAGTTAGAGACCAGCAAGAAGCCCTAAGCACCACCGCTGGGCTCTACGTGTGCACAGGGGAAGGGGGGTAAGAAACTATTTGCTTCACTCAGGTTTGCGCGGATGTGGGGGCAGCAGGGACGGTCGCAGGGGTGCTCAGGTTATATCTTTCATATGATATGAACTCGGAAGTACATGAGTGTGTCACCTGTTTAAACACACTAAAGTGTGTTTTTAACGGCCTCATTGGAGTATAATTCATACGTATGTTTTTCGCATACACTTCAATAGTATTTAGTAAACTTACAGACCTGTGCAGCCACCACCAGAATCCAGTTTTACATAATTTTCACCACCCCATAAAGACCCACATCCTGCTTTGTGCTCAACCCTTGCTCCTGCCCAGCCCCAGGCACCCAACTACCTCCTGTTTCTAAGATTGGCCTTTGGGGGACATCGTACACAAATGGAACTGTGCAACATGTAGTCTTCTGCATCTGACTTCTTTGCCTTGTAAAGTCCTTCCGAGTGTCACTGTGGTGTAGCAGGTGCTGGGGTCATTGTTTTTCACTGCTGACCAGAACGTCCCTGTATGCGTGGACCACATTTTGTCTATCTGAAGTTCGCACTGTTCCCCGGCTTGGCTATCATGAGTACGATAGCCCTGCTGTGAACATTCATGTACAAATCCTTGTGTGAATAGGTTTCCATATACACCTAGGAAAATTGCAGGGTTGTATGGTTAGCTTATGCTGAACTCCTTAGGAAACTGCCACACTGTTTTCCCAAGTGGCCACACCATTTTATGTTCCTGCCAGCACCTGCCAGCACGCTACAAGGGCCCCATTCTTCCACATCCTTGCCAACACTTGCCAGTGGCTGTCTTTTTGATGGCGGCCATCCCAGTGGGTATAAAACGGGATTTCATTATAGTTTTAATTTCTATTTCCCTAAGAGGCTCATGACATTGAACGTCCTTTCACGTGATTACTAACCAGTTTTATGTCTTCTTTGGTGAAACATCTACCGAAATCTCTTATCCATTTCTTATCTGGATTATCTTCTTACTGAGTTATAACAGATATATAGTCTAGATATAAGTGCTTTATCAGAAATATGATTTGCAGAGGAGTCAAAATGGTGGAGAAGTAGAGGGATCGCAATTTCCCTCGTCCCTCAAACACAGGAGTATCGACGTCACAACACGTGGAACACCCATGAAATCAGTCTGCGGAGAGACAGAAAAATCTCCACAGGTGGACAGAGACAGCTTGGCAGGACAGAGGCGTGTGTATGCGAATCAGAAAAGATAAAACGGTCAGTGTAAGCATGGAGCGGGGAAACCCTTTAGTGGAGACAAAAGGAAGAGAAAGAGAGGCTGTGGAAGTGTGGCGTTACATCTGGACGAGAGAAAAACCTCTCCGGACCACAGACGGGGGAACGAGAAACACAGAGAGTGCTAGTTTCTACTTTGCAAACAGCCTCAGAAGCTAAAGATGGTAATTATCAGGGGTGTGTGACTTTCTCCAGACCAGAGCCGGGTGCATGGGCCTGGTGGGGAGGGAGCCCGCTTGGGCGTGACAGCGATCTCAGGGGCGCACTGGGAGAGAGCGGTCCCTCCTTTGAGTACTGTGGGAAGAAGGTGTATTGCCCTCCTCAAGGACAAAAGACCTTGCAGGTGCCAGCCAGATGCCCTTTGTCGGCTGGGCAGAGTGGCTTTATTCCAGAACCAGGACCGTGTAGAATGGGACTCTTTAAGACGTCAGGTTTTGAATCTCAGCTGAGTGCCTGGGAGGCACGGGAGACTGTGGGGCGAGACAAGCTGGCCTCCCACGCTGCTCTGTGAGGACCACCTGAACAGCGTGGTTTGGGACACCCAGTCCAGGGAGGAGAGACTGGGGTGTTGCCATTTTTCTCCCAATCACCAACACAGTGGGGCTTCAGGGAACAGGACAGCGGCCCCCAGTGGAGGCGGGGCCTGCTTACACCAAACCCCCCCCCCCTCCGTGCCTGGTAACTGCATATCGACCAGAGTGAGATTGACACTGACCCGACCAGACGGCCCCTCCTCCAGACCAGAGCTGCCACCGGTCCCAGGCGCCAACACAGAATCGTCCTGTGGTTTTGTTTGGTACTTTTAAAAATTTTAATATTATTATTTTTTTCTCTTCTCTTCTCTCTCTTTTCCCTTCTTTTTCTTTCCACTCTCCTCTTTTTTTCTCCTCCCTTGGGAATCAGCCTCATGGTTTCTGATTTGACTTTTGGTTAATTCTTATTATATATATTTTTTTCTTTTTTTTCTTTCTTTCTCTGTTCTGGTTGTTTGCTTAATCAGGCATCTTTATTCTTTTTACCTTTTCTGTATCTCTTTCTTCTTTATTTTCCTCTCTCTCTCTGGATTAAGCCTTATAGTTTCTTCGATTCTCTACCTGGTCTTTTTTTTCCACACCTTTCATTTCTCTCTTTGTATGGGATAATGTTTCTCCCCCTCTCCTTTTTCCTTTTTCCAGGGTTACTTCAACAAACAAATCAAAGAACACCTGATGGAAGGCCCAAACCACCACTACAAATAGGGAGATAAAGCAACCAGAGTCACAATAACAGAGAGCATGCAACACACTCCAAAAACACCTCCTTAAGGGTCAGGCATTGCACTCTGTATGGCTTCTTTTTAATATAGTAGTGCTTGCAGGTGCAGGGCACATAACAAGCTTTTAAAACACATAAGGGACAGAAAACTAGCCAAAATGACGAAACGGAAGAATTCTCAAAAGAAATTCTGGGAAGAAATGACACCCAGAGAATTGTTCAAAACATATACACCACATATCTGAACAAGAATTTAGAATAATAGTCATAAGACATTAGCTTGGAAAAAAAAGCATAGAAGACAGCAGAGAATCTCTTGCTGCAGAGATCAGGGACCTAAGAAATAGTCACGATGAATTAAGAAATGTTGTAAATGAGGGGCAAAATAAACTAGATGTAGTGACATAAAGGATGGAATAAGCAGAGGAGAGAATAAGTGAAAGAGATGATAAAATTATGGAAAATGATGAAGCTGAGAAAAAGAGGAAATTACTAGACCACGAGGGGAGAATTAGAGAACTAAGTGATTCTATGAAACCTAATAATATCTGTATCACAGGAGTTCTAGAAGAAGAGAAAGGGGAAGAAGGTTTATTTGAACAAATTATGGCTGAGAACTTCCCTAGATTGGGGAAGGACACAGACATCCAAGTCCAGGAGCCACAGAGAATTCCCTTCAAAATCAACAAAAACAGGTCAACACCACAACATAGCATAGTGAAACTGGAAAAACACAAGGATAAAGAGAGAATTCTGAAAGCAGCTAGGGACAAATGGTCCTTAACCTACAAGGGTAGACATATAAGGGTAGTAGCAGAGCTGTGCACTGAACCTTGGCAGGCCAGAAGGGAGTGGCAGGAAATACTCAATGTGCTGAACAGGAAAAATATGCAGCCAAGAATCCTTTATCGAGCAAGGCTGTCATTCAGAATAGGAGGAGAGATAAAGCCTTTTCCAGACAAACAAAAATTAAAGGAGTTCATGGCCACTACCAGCCCTGCAGGAGATCCTAAGGGGTACTCTGAGTGGAAAGCAGCAAAGAGTACAGAGGACCAGACACATCACTGCAAGCACAACCTAAATTACTGAAGCCCAATTGTAACGTGACTTTCTCCACAAAGACGCAGCTCTGCAGACTACTGTGGAAAAGAGCGTCTTCTGCCATGTTCATTCTAACATATGTGTTCCTCCTATCCCGACTTTCTTAAGCGTTTTTATAAAGAAACGATGCTGTATTTTGTCAAATGCTTTTTCTGCACCTATTGACAGGATCATATGGTTTCTATCCTTTCTTCTACTAATGTGATATATCACGTTGATTGATCTGCAAATACTGAACCAGCTCTGCACCCCAGAAGTGAATCCCACTTGGTCATGGTGAAGAATTCTTTTAATATTAAAAACATCAAAAAAGCCGTATATGAAAGGCCTACAGTTAAAAACTGAGAGCTTTCCTCCTGAGATCAGGAACACAACAGGGATGTCCACTCTCACCACTGTCATTTAACATAGTGTTGGAAGTCCTAGCCAATCAGACAACCAAATGAAATAAAATGCATCCAAATTGGCAGTTTGAAGAAGTCAAACTTTCACTTTTTGCAGATGACATGATACTGTACATGGAAAACCTAAAAGACATCACCAAAAAACTGCTAGACCTGATATGTGAACTCTGCAAAGTCACAGGATATAAAGTCAATGGACAGAAATTGGTATACACCAATAATGAGGCAACAGAAGGAGATACCAAGGAATCAGTCCCGTTTAGAATCGCACCAAGAACCACAAAATACCTAGGAATGGGGCGCCTGCATGGCTCAGTCAGTTAAGCAGTCGATTTTGGCTCAGGTCATGATCTCGCGGTTTGTTGGTTGGCCTCTCTGCTGACAGCTCAGAGCCTGGAGCCTGCCTTGGATTCTGTGTCTCCCTCTGTCTTTGCCTCTCCCTCACTTGTGCTCTGTCTCTCAAGAAGAAATAAATGCTAAAAAAAAAAAAAAAAAAACCAAACAACCTAGGAATAAACCTAACCAAGGAGGTAAAAGATCTGTATGCTGAAAACTATAGAAAGCTTATGAAGGAAATTGAAGAAGACACAAAGAAATGGAAAAACGTTCCATGCTCATGGGTTGGAAGAACAAATACTGTTAAAATGTCAATACTACCCAAAGCAATCTATCTATACATTCAATGCAATCCCAATCAAAATAGCACCAGCATTCTTCACAGAGCTAGAACAAACAATCCTAAAATGTGTATGGGATCACAAAAGACCCCAAATAGCCAAATGTTGAAAAAGAAAACCAAAGCTGGAGGCATCACAATCCCAGCCTCGTAGCCTGTACTACAAAGCTGTCGTCATCAAGACAGTATGGTACTGGCACAAGAACAGACACATAGATCAACGGAACAGAATAGAGAACCCAGAAATGGACCCACACACGTATGGCCAACTAATCTTTGACAAAGCAGGAAAGAATATTCAACAGAATCAAGACAGTCTCTTTAGCAAATGGTGCTGGGAAAACTGGACAGCAACATGCAGAAGAATGAACCTGGACCACTTTCTTACACCAGACACAAAAAGAAACTCAAAATGGATGAAAGACATGAATGTGAGATAGGAAACTATCAAAACCCTAGAGAAGAAAACAGGCAACAACCTCTCTGACCTCAGCTGCAGCAACTTCTTACTCGACACATCTCCGAAAGCAAGGGAATTAAAAGCAAAAATGAACTATTGGGACCTCATCAAGATAAAGAGCTTCTGCACAGTGAAGGAAACAATCAACAAAACTAGAAGGCAACTGACAGAATGGGAGAAGATATTTGCAAATGACATATCAGATAAAGGGTTAGTATCCAAAATCTAGAAAAAAACTTATCAAACTTAACACCTGAAGAACAAATAATCCAGTGAAGAAAGGGACCAAAGACATGAACAGACACTTTTCCAAAGAAGACATCCAGATGGCCAACAGACACATGAAAAGATGCTCAACATCACTTATCACCAGGGAAATACAAATCAAAACCACAGTGAGATACCACCTCACATCAGTCAGAGTGGCCAAAATTAACAACTCAGGAAACAACAGATGTTGGTGAAGATGAGGAGAGAGGGGAACCCTCTTGCACTGTTGGTGGGAATGCAAACTGGTGCAGCCACTCTGGAAAACAGTGTGGAGTTTCCTCAAAAAATTAAAAATAGAACTACCCTATGACCCAGCAATAGCACTACTAGGAATTTATCCAAACAGGAGTGCTGATTCACAGGGGCACATGCACCCCAATGTTTACAGCAGCACTATCAATAATAGCCAAATTATGGCAAGAGCCCAAATGTCCATCAACTGATGAATGGATAAAGAAGATGTGGTTTATATATACACTGGAATATTACTTGGTGATGAAAATGAACGAAATCTTGCCATTTGCAACAACGTGGATGGAACTGGAGGGTATTATACTAAGTGAAGTAGTTCAGTCAGAGAAAGACAGATATCATATGTTTTCATTCATATGTAGAATTTGAGAAACTTAACAGAAGACCATTGGAAAAGGGAACGGAAAAGTAAGTTATAACAGAGAGGGAGGCAAACCATAAAAGACTCCTGAATACAGAGAACAAACTGAGGGTTGATGGTGGGGTAGAGGGGTGGGCAGGAGGGGAAAACGGGTGACGGCATCGAGGAGGGCACTTGGGATGAGCACTGGGTGTTGTATGTAAGCGATGAATCACGGGAATCTACTCCCGAAGCCAAGAGCACACTGTATATGCGGTATGTTAGCTAACGTGACAATAAATTATAATAGATACACAGATAGAAAAGACAAAAAAAAGACAAAAAATATGATTTGCAAATATTTTCCCCCACTCTGTGGCCTCTTAATTTTCTCACTGGTATAGGATGCTGTATTAAAAGCTGGGTAGGAATGGCTATAGGGCTTGATCAAATGCTCTTAACAGCATCTCTGTGATTGTTTTCTTTTTTAAATTGGTAATGCAGTAAATGACGTCTGCACAGATTTTCCTCAATGTTGCACTTTTTCTTTTCCTTTAATACATGACTGGAGCGTACCTTCTTTTATATAATATGGGCACATGCACGGAAAAACGCCCGGCACCAAATTTTCCCACCTGTGGAGTGATGTGTGGAGAATGGACTTTAATGTTTTTATATTTAAGATGTTTTATAGTAAGCATATATTACTGTGGCAATTAAAAAGAAAAAAGAAAGAGAAGGAAAAACTAAGATGTTGGACGTTTTAACATGTCTACTTGGCTGTTTGGCCTTTCCTTCCTAAGTGGAGGGAGCCCCCTGCGGGACAGTCTGCAGCACCTCTCTCGCTGGGACGGGAAGGGGCACGAGGCACCTGCAGGGGGCGGGCGGGGCGGCCATGGAGGCAGAGCGCCACCTACCTGCTCATCGCTCCTGTGGTAGTCGTTGTCCTCCTCCTGCTTCTCCTCCGCGGCCTCTTTGTTCGAACTGTCATCTGCTTTGGTTTCACCTTTCAGCAAAAACAGAAGACACTATATTATGAAATCCAGAATGTTAAACCATTACTTTTTTAACTGTACGGTATACTCAAAATGCTATAAAAATTCACTCAAATAAGACAGTTGCACCTTTAAGAGCATATGCAACTGGGGAGAGCTGGTCTCCAAAGCACCTGCTAAAACTCCGTATTCTGTAAAGTGCAGGGGCCCCAGGAAGCTGAAGTCAGCTGTGCATGGGTCTGTGAGTGTGTGAACAAGGGCACAGCAGGGTGACAGGGACAGTGAAAGGGGCAGAGAAGCCCCCCACACCCAATACTATTCAATGCTTAACACACCAACTACCCACGAGTAATGCAGGACTCCCACAATATTTATTGTTCCAACACTACTTTTAAAATGAAGACTCCGTTGTATGTAAGAAGTTGGGACAAGACCCCTGGCTTCCCAAACAGCCCCCAACTGCCTTCCTTCCGTCTCTGCAGGGCTCCACCTTTCCCAGGGGTCCCAGCCAGGATTTCTCCTTTCTTCTAAGATTACGGGAAACACACAGAGTGGTCTAGAAGCTTCTCAGGAATCCCTGTGCTCACTAGAAAAGTACCATGGCATCAAAGATTTGAATAATTTGTTATGGCACGTCGATTTAAAAATACCACTAATTTTTCAGTGAATCCAAATGTCATTTTGCCATTCTACAACAGGACAGTTGAGGGGAAGTCTCAGGAGGCCCGCCTGCACTGCACCCCACCTCCAGGTACTTTCGGGGCCCTCATGCTTCCCTCACTTCGCCTACACAGGACCCCTCTGTCCACAAGCCGTTTCTCAGCTCCGCCCCGCATTCCCATCGGCACCAGGAGTGCCAGAGGACGCTGGAGGGAGGCACAGGGCCACCTGAGAAAGGGGCTCATAATAAAGGCCGGCCTTGGCAGCAGGTGTGCAGAAGCCCACTCACCGTTCCGATGGGGATCTAGGTGCTGTTTCGCAGAACAGGTCTCCCCCTTGATGTCTCCAGGCACTTCCATGCCTAACTTGTGGTAGAATTCCCTCTGTTTTCTCATTTCCGCTATTAAAAATGAATATATACTCTTTAATCTTAAGGAGGCAACGAATTACGTTAAAATGCTGTTCACAAACACCACATGAAGAAAACGACGGATCGGGATTGGGAGGTTTCGACGGCTGCCACTAATGAGAAGAAATCTGGACCGAATCCTCGGGATCTTGGAGCGGCTGCCACCCCGCCCCGTCGTCGATGCATAGACTCCCGGCTGCAGGATGGGGCAGCTGTGTGAAGAGATGCCCCCATCCCCCCCCTACCCCCAAGACCCAAGACTGCTGTTTTCAACATGTGGCGTCTGGTCAACATTCTGGGACTCCTCAGGGGCACAGCAAACACGACCCGCTGACCTCTAGGCTGCTCAGCAGGAGACTCGGGCCTTCTAGCACCACGCCTACGGCCACAGCTTAGAAACCAGCAGTGCCCCTGATTCGCACTGTGCTTTCACAGCTAGATGGCCACCCAGGTGTGCCCGGCGGTGTGTCAACGCTGCCCCCTGGTGTCCGTGGCCCGCCACCACAGCTCGCCGCATCCGGAGGAGGAAGCCAGAGGAAGGTTCCTTGGGGAACAGAGGCCATCCACCACAGGGCCCTGTGATCTCCTCCTCAGAAGCAATGCCAGTCAGCATTCTTGCTCCCCACAGTCAGCACTCCAGTCACTGCTGGCTACGCCGGAGGAGGCTCCCCAAACGGAGCGGGGGCCGGGCCGGACAATGAGAGGGCAGGAGCGTAGGACACAAGGCAGCTACGGATGGGCTTTTAGCAACAAGTGACTCTGAAGCGAACACCCGGGGAATGAAGTAAGTAGTCACTGCTCAGGGCCGCACAGCAGCAGCAAAGAAAATTCACACCCAAGTTGCTCCAACTAATAACCTACAAATCACTCTATGAAAAGCATTTCTGTGGAGCTCACTTGGTAACTGTTGCACTTTTTACCTGCACGTCTGTCTTCCATATGCCATGAGCTCAACGGAGCCAGGAATACATCTTGGTCACATCTTGGACCCACACAGACGCTTGGCGTGCCCAGTCATGCGGGAGCGCATCGATGCAGGGGGTGGGGCTCCGGCGGAAAGAGGGTGGCCCTCAGAACTGAAGGGACAGCACTGCCGGACTAGAGAGGGATGGGCTGCTGGAACCAAATACGGCAAGTGCCAAACCAAAAGGCTGGTCTGGAAAATTTGGATTAGCTTGAAAAGAAATCAAACAATCCTGTAAGAGCTGGCTCAGGAATAAAGGCGTGAGGTGGTGCGGGGCTGTTCCCAGGTTCTCCAAGAAGGGTGACGGAGCCCTGCTGATCAGTGTGGGAGAGAATTCTCTCCTCACCTGTAGAAATGGGGCAGCTCCCATTACCTTGCTTTAATTCCCATTTAAACATTTTTCACCTGTCAGAATGAAAAAAGATCGAAAATAACAATATTCTCTGCCAGGAATATGCCAGCATAGAAATGTTAACTGGGATGATTTTCAGCAAGGTAACTTGCTATTTAAGGGGCTCCTGGTGGCTCAGTCGGTTGAGCATCAGGACTCTTGCTTTCTGCTCTGGTCATGGTCATGGGATCGAGCCCCGGTTCGGGCCCTGTGCCGACAGCGCAGAGCCTGCTTGGGATTCTCTCCCTCTCCCTGTCTCTCTCTCTGCCCCGCCCCTGCTGGCGCACACCCTCTCTCCAAATAAATAAACCTTAAAAAAATGATACAGATCATATTTATTGATGTGGAGCCAGCACCACGACATGCTGTCATGCAAAGGACAGGTTATGTGATGTCATAGGTAAAAATTCCAAGTCGTAATCCTGGTGTGACTACCATGCTGTGAGAATCCAGGGGAGCGATAACGCAATGTGGCCCTGGGCACAAGCCAGTGTCCCTTCCTGACGCTCTCGGCACCTCCTCAATGACGAAGGGCACCTACGGGGCCCCATGGCCGACCTCACACTCGGGTGTGGAAGGTGGACTGCATTCCCACCCCGGCCCCACCCACGTCCACGTCCACGCTCGCCATTCGGACTCAACGTCACAGTCAGAGCTCAGGCTGACAAACGTCTTTAGAGGAGGGGATGTGTGAGCTCAGCAGCAAAACTGTGAAATGAGGCAGGCACTTGTATAACAGGAAGAAGGCGCACTTTTATTGAAATATACACACGTCCACAAGCACAGTAAGTAATTGAGTACATTCTTGCTCCTTATCGCTTTGAATAAATGGTCACCTGTCAGATTTGGAAAAACCAAAGTTCTCACTTTACCTTCACTGCTGCTCCTTCCTGTGGGTCAGAGTTTCCAACCTACACTTCCTCTGAAGAACTTCGTGGAACTGTTCTTGCAAAGCTGGTCTAGAGACAACAAACTCCCTTCATCTCTGTTTGACTGAGTCTTTACTTCTCCACGTCTGGGGAGTAAGTCCTCAGGGTGCAGAATTCTTGGTGGATGCCTTCCTCTCTCAACACTAAACATTTCACCCTCCACTCTCCTTGCAGGCACAGTTTTGGAGGAGAAGTCAGGTGAATTCTGATCTTTGTTCCTCTGTACTCTGGCTTGTTTTTGTTTCTCTGTAGCTTGAAAAGAGCATGCATAGGTGTTGTGCGTTTGGTATTTACCCTGTCTGGTGTTCTCGGAGCTTCCTGGATCCATGGTTGGGTGTCTGACATTAATTTGGGGAAAATCTCATCATTCTCATTTCACTGCTGTTCCTTCTCACTCTTCTCTTCTGCTTCTCCTGTTCCCATTACACACACAACACACCTCTGGGGCCATCCCACGTCCTCAGAGATTTTGGCTTTGTTTTAGTGTGTGCTCTTTCATTTTCAGCCTCCGAGTCTCTGCTGACAGGTCCTCAGCCTCGAGATTCTTCCACATACAAGTCCTGTTACTAGGAGGCCCACCTGAGGCTTTCCTCATTTCTGCTCCAGCATCTTTTGCTCCTTCTCAGCATTTCTCTCTCTCTGTTTCCACCGTCCACCTGTTGTGGCATGCAGTCCGCTTTACCAGTTAGAGCCCTTAGCACACGTATCACAGTTGTTATTTTTTATTTTAAGATTCATTTCGGAGAGACAGACACACACAGAGTGCGAGCAGGGGAGGGTTAGAGAGCGAGAGACACAGGACCCGAAGCAGGCTCCGGGCTCCGAGCTGTCAGCACAGAGCCCGACACGGGGCTCGAACTCACAAACTGAACCATGAGATCATGACCTGAGCTGAAGCTGCCCAGGCACCCCTATCCCGGTTGTTTTAAATTCCAGTCTGACGACACTAGCATCCCTGACATGTCTGGTTCTGACGCTTCCTCTGTCTCTAGAAACTGTGTTTTTGTCTTTTAGTGTGCCCTGTTGATTTTTTTCTTGTGAGCCAGATGTGATGTGCCAGGGAAGAGAGCTGGTGTGCCCAGGCCCGCGGTGATGTGGGGCAGGGTGGGCGGGGGAAGGGCTCCGTGGGTGGCGCCTCCACACTGACCGTCACCAGAGCTTCCCAGCTGTGTTCTCTCCCTCGGTGGGGAGGGCTGAGCGGAACTGACCGGCTCCCCTTGCTCAGGTTGGCTCTGGTTAACTAGTGTCCCCGGGGGCAGGCCTTGTTAGAAATATTTCAGAATGGCTCCTTTTCTACCCCCTGCTGGAAGCATGAGAGATTTCTCTCTGATATTTGCTGAGAGACCTCAGCCGAGCTCCTGGAGGTGACGTTCACGATACCGTGAGGCCCTGGCCGTGATTACATCTCCTACAGGTTTTCCAGACTTGTCCACACGGGGCCTCCAGCAGCTCCACAACCACAGCTCAGGTTTTCAGCCCTGAGCTGGTTCCTGCAGAGGCTTCTGCTCCGGGAAGCCGTGTCCCCAAATCCACTGTCAGTCTCTCTACTCTTGATGCAGAACTTTGCCCTGTGTCCCTCCCTCTTTATGATCCAAGAAAGCTGGCTGGCTTCTCGGGCTGTTCAGCTTTTTATTTGTTAGACCAAAGTGGAGACTTCCGAGTTCCTTATATGAGGAAGTAGAAACCAGAAGTCACGAAATTCAAAAAACAGTAATTATAACTGAGTACAATTTTTGTAATATAGGCTACTGACAGGAAGAATGGGCTCCTTTTAGGGGGAATAATATTTAATTGGTGTTAAAAGTTAGTGTTCCTTATCATCAAAACTGACTACACGTGTTCATCTCGATGATATTTCACACATTTCATTTTTGGAAGTGTCTTTTCATACGGAAATGCTGACCTCAGTCCACAAGCATGTGACTTTGTGTGGCTCGTGCGTCAGCGTGGGGGCGCTCAGGGAGCTCCGTCAGACTCTCCTCCTGGTGCTGGCCTTTGTGGCGCCAACCACAAGCCAGTGCACCCGGCAGAGGGCGGACGAAAGCTCCTCCGTGGCACAGTTAATGGACTCCGAAATATGGAAACTGCCTTCGCATGTGTGTTGAGCTCCTGGGCCTGGAGCCAGAGCTCAGATCAGCCTGCGACAAACCTGAATGGGATCAGAGATCTCGCTGCCCCTCTTCTGAAAGCAGGATGTCTGAAGTCACGTAGCACGGACAGCACTCACTGCTGTTGAGCGACTTCACTCGCAACAGAGGTTTGCATACAAGTAGTCCTGTTGTGCCTTATGATGTTGGGCTGAATTCATCCCAACGTAATGTTGGGAAACATTATCAAATCTTCAGCAAAAGCTAATTTCCATAGTCATTCCAGGTTAAAGGAACTTCTTTCCATTCCAAAAAACTTCAATTTGTCCTTAGCTCAAAATGACAACAACAACACACACACACACACACACACACACACTCACCACTACTAAGCCATTATTAAAGTGCCATCTGGGAGAGAAAGTCAGGGTGTTTAGGCTCCACTCCTGACAAATTCATCTCCCTGGTGACAGTGACATCTGAAAGAGTGAAGGAAGCCTGCCGCGGACTCCGCTGGTTCGGTGACCTATGAAAGACTCGTCGTCCACAGAGTACCTGCTCTGATGCAGAATACGATGCCCTCTGAATACCTCACACTCTTGCCAGCTCGGTTAGTCTGTCCGAGTTAGCAGCTTCCTGACCCCCAGACGCTTCTAGTGCCGCTGGACGGAACACGTCTTGGCAGACCCCACTTCAGGCTGCACTGAATTAGTATTTTCTGGACCCCCCGGACGACACTCTTGCCCGCAGCTGCTCTCTGCAGACTGTTCAGAGATATTATTTCTTCAGTCACTTTGGACTCACCAAATGAACAACTGAGCAGACTGGCGACACCAAGGCCAAGGAAAACCACTCAAAACCGCCTCGTTTTCTCGTGGACCCCTGATGTTGCCTCCCAGAGGCTCCCTCCCCAAAACAAGCCCGTCTTCTCTGGACGCACCGGCTCAGCGGCTACAATCAAACGAGATCTGATTAACTTACGTTACGAAGCGGCTTTCCTCGTTTGGCTTAACAAAGGAGTCAGTCAGAAACCTACTTCGATTGTAGCCTGATATCCACATTTTATTTCCGCGATGAGGTATTCCGTTTGATATTTTCAGTTCTTTCCAAACGTCGCTTTCCTGTGCGTTGGGAGCGCCGTGTACTCGTCTGGCGATGCCTGCACACGCTCTGCCCCTCCAGCTCGGCACGGCCGCGCCTCATGGCGCAGTCGGCTCACGAGCACAAAACCGTCCACGCTTCACTGTGGCTTAAAAGGGCAACATCTGAAGTCCATACCTCCCTTCTTCCTGTTTCGACATGACGGGTACGAACTGGCAACAAGGAGAGTCGCACCAGTGGCGCACATGGCTCCTGAAACACCGTCGAGTTAGCACTGCGTTTCTGAGCTCTGCAGCGCGAGGAGCGGCCACAGTGCACATCCCGTTGGCCGCCAGTTGCTGCTCTGCGTTGTGACGTGAACACAAACGGTACAGGAGCGAGCGAGCTGTGATTTTCACATCACAAGTATTACTGACTTTTTTCTAACCATTTAAAAGTATAAAAAGCATTCCTGGCTCACAAGCCATGGAAAGATGGGCAGCAAGCCCGATCTGGCCTGCAGTTTGCCAACCCTGTTCCAGCCAGGGCGAAAAGGCAAGAGAAAGAAATAATGCAGAAGCCTTGGCCTAGTGATTGCACTTCCAGAATAAAGCCAAATACATCCACCCACATCCGCACAAAATTACGCGAAAGGTGTCACCGCACCCCCTCTTCTGTTAAAGCCAAGGACGAGAACGTCCTGAGTGTCCCTCAGGAGGCATACGGGAGTGAGCAAACCCCACGCAGCCATCCTCACGACAGGGCCCAGCCCGGCGTCCCGGCCATGCCGGCAGAAGAAGCCAGCTGGGCAGTATGAGGCAAAGAAGGGAGGGGGTGGCTCAACATAAAAAAATAATTTGATAAATTTTATAAAATGTTGCCTCTTTGGGGCGCCTGCGGGGGGGCTCAGTCAGCTGAGCGTCTGACTCTTGATCTTGGTTCAGGTCATGATCTCATGGTTGGTGGAATCGAGCCCCGTGTCGGGCTGGGTGCCGACAGTGTGGAGCCTGCTTGGGGTTCTCTCCCTCCCCCTGTCTCTCTCTGTCCCTCCCCTGCTCGCGTGCATGCATGCTCTTTCTCTCAAAGTAAATACAAACTTAAAATGCTGCCTCTAAAAGACAGGTCTTTAAAAACTATTGAAAAAGGAAACAGACCACTGAACAACGAACTCTCTGGCAAAAAGGCCTTGTCTACAAGGGAACAGAGAAACAGAGTTGGTGCGGGGCCAGCAGCAGGGAGCGAACCCAGGGGAGCGGCCACTCGGGAGGCCTGGATGGCGGCACGGGCAGGCGTCCTGCTGCCCCCGGCCCTTGTCAGCTGAAGCTCGTCTGCCAGGAAGGGGCCTCCGTCTGAGAAACCGGGTTTGCGACTGTTGGCACAAGCAGACAGACTGTGTGAGGAAGCCCTCCCGCCGGGAAGGGTTTCCTTCTACTTAGGGGCAGCAAGCGACCGAGAGCCTGAGCAAGAGAGAAGCTGAGTGCCTGCTGGAAGAGAAACCCTGCCCGAGGGGCAAGAGGGGGCACGTCCCACATGCGGGGTCATCACACACCCGCACCACGTTCTTCACAAACCCTCCATTACAACTCTGTCACCGGGCGACCCCTACACTGAGGGCACCTGGACTCCGTGGGGAGATGGCCGGCACTGCCTGGGGCAGGAAGTCAACAGGAGGAGCCTGGGACCCGCCCGGTCACCCCAGACTCCCAGGGCAGTATCGGGAGCTGCCAATGGGGGAGGGGGAGAATGGGGGGGGGCGCGAGCTTCAGAAAGGACAAGGACCACGAAGCACTGTGAACACACGTGTACGTTTACACGGCCCTGACTGTGGCCGGAGAGGTCAGAACTAAGGCAGCGTGCCGTGCGCAAAGGAAAGACAGGCCCCGATCTGCCGGTCGGTACAAAATGGGCCTCAGGAACCCCGCGGTCCACCTGGCACGCGGGCCGGGCTGGGCGCCAGGACAGGCACGGGTCGGCCACTTCTAACGAATCGTGGACTGATGCTCTGCCGGGGCAGAGCGGCTGGGGTGACACGGGAGCCAGGCCGACTGCACCCGTCCAGGCGGAATAACCCCCGGGGGTGGGCTTCCCAAAAACACGAGCCAGAATCCTGTCGGGCCTGCAGACGCCAGCGGTTCACAGGAATGGGGCCTCCTCAGCAAGTCCAGACTTGGTGACAGGAGGGGCTGAGAGGGGGCAGAGCAGTCGGCCTGGGGGCTGACCTGACCTGGACCCTGATTAAAATAAACGACAACAAGGAAACTCAAAACATGTGGTGTTCATGAGGCAGCTAGAAATGCTGACGCTGAGCAGGTACTTGATCCTAAGGGATTACTATTACTTCCTTAGGTTTACAAAGTGTTGTGGTTACTCGTGTTACAAAGAGGGTATCTTCTGGGACAGGAAGATGGCTGGAAGCAGAGGATGAAACGGGGCTCTGCGTGAGCTGCAGGGGCTGGGCAATAAACACATGGGGTTCTACATGTGGTTCTGCCTGCTCTTATGTTTAAAACACCCTGTGATCATTTTTCAAGGTACTGGCATTTTATTTTGACGTATTCTTTGCCTTTTCTGAGGACTCAAAAACTTTTAGGTATCAAAAGATTGTTTCTGTCCGCATTATACGGGAAACTTGAATTCTTCTTGTATGAGTGAATTGGTGAATGGCACAAAAAAGACCTTAACAGTATTATTCTTTAAGTTCTGTACGAGGGGAGCCTGGGTAGCTCGGTCGGTTAAGCCTCCGACTTCGGCTCGGGTCGTTATCTCACGGTTCGTGAGTTCGAGCCCTGCGTCGGGCTCTGTGCTGACAGCTCGGAGCCTGGAGCCTGCTTCGGATTCTGTGTCTCCCTCTCTTTCTGCCCCTGCCCCACTCACGCTCTGTCTCTGTCTCTCTCTCTCTCTCAAGGATAAATAAACCGGGGGCGGGGGAACAGTTCTATAGGAAAAGCCAGGTGTAATATCTATCTCTTGATCTAAGGTAGTAAGCTGTATTTTAAATTTTAACCCTCTTCCGAAACATTACAATGAGAAAACACAGCCCTTGCAAGTGAATCCCTAACATATCTTATCTTTAAAAGAAAGTGTACCTGAGCTGTATCAGCCAGCACCACCACGCCCGTCCACCATCAGACCCTGAGTGGGATTCTGAGGCCAGTATCTCCCTCCCCTCCCCCATCACCAGCCCCACAAAGAGGGGGAGCAACAGTCTCTGCGTTCGGAATTGCAGAAAAGGTTGAAAAAGAACAGCCATTTCCACTTTGAGGGTATTCGCACTGCATAATGTTTCTTCTTCATTCTCAGTGAGACTTGGCTTTAAATACAGTCAAACTTTATCCACACACTTGTTACCGGCTTCACGTCCGTGTGCGTGACTGAGGAGGCTGCCCCCGTGCCCTGCTGTGCCCCCACTGCCCCAACAAGGCAGCACGCTCAGCAAGACAGAGACAGTGGGAGAAGCCAGCAACACGGCGCTCACGAGTTCAGAGCAGGGACAAGCGAGATGGTGCTGTTCCCAAAGAGGGGACGGGGCCGGGACCCCCAGGAGCAAAGTGCTCAGAGGCTGAGCCGCAGACTCAGGGGTCCAGGTGGACGTTCTGACACTTACCTTCCTGAAGGCCTGGAACCAGTTTGTAAACAATGTCCTGCATGGTTCTGTCATGACTGGCAAAGAGAACATAACAGGTGAGGTTAGCTAGAAATGCCACTTCCACAATCCGTGCGCATTTTCCATTAACGGTATCAGACTCCACAATCGCGAATTTGAAATTTTGCTTGAGTTTTGCTTCTAGTTTGCACTTAAAAAAATGTTTGTGCTAGCAAAAGTTATAAACAACCTGAATCAATGTATCATTTAATTCAGGTTCTAGAGGTTTCAAGGAATGGCGGCACAGACAAGACCCTCTAGATGATGAGTGCCCTCTGCCTGCTGAATGTGGTCCGGACACCCAGAGATGCAGCCTCCAGGGGCCACACAGGCCCCCACCCCCACCTCTTCCACCGGTGCCTCCTGGGCCTCCACTAGACAGGAAACTTTTCTTTCATGTTCTGAATAATGTAGAGGAAAGGCCCTAAGATCAGGCCCTCCCTGTGGTCTTTAAGATCTACCTATAAAGGTTTTCTGAAAAGGCTATATAAGCACAGTATTTCAAATATAGTTTCTACTCCAGTTTGCTATTTTTAAACATAACTTATTAATATGTTTAAGTAACTTTTCAAATCAACGTTAATTTCCAAACATCATGCGTTAAAATGAAAACCTGTAAGTACCCAGACAAGTAGCATGTAAATAACGGACAAACGATGGGGTTCCACAAAACTTCTAGACATTTAGCTGTCAGGGCTAGTCCAGGGCTGGGCACACAGCAGCCACTCAGTGGGCTCACGGTTAGGCCACAAACGGCGGGTCACCAGGGCCTGCAGAGACCCTCATTCGCCATTTCCAGGAAGAACTTTTAAGTTCTAATAGACATCAGTCTGACATCTCAGCCTGTGTTGTGGCACACCAAAGCAGGGTTTCTCAAATTTCCGACCACGATGCACACGTGCCCACAGCGAAGATTATGGACCACAGCCGGCCCGCAGCACGCAGGACACCCCCACGGCTTTGTGGAAAGCTCCCCCCACTGCACGAGGAGAGGATGGTGGAGAGATCCCCGCCACAGAGCTTGACTCTGGGTCCTCCGAATGACCGTGCCAGGCCCTGCCTGCCTGGCCACAGACCCATAGGGCCGAGGGGAGGGGTTGGGGGGGCTCTCCTTGGAAAGGGTGCTGGCAGGCAGGACAGAACAGCACAGCGCGCTTCTCTTGGTGTCAGCCACATCCAGGCTCTTGGAGGAGCAGCCCCTTGAAAGAGGCTTTCGTGTTTACACTCTAGGCCACAGGCCACACACCCTCTCCCAGCCCTTCGCTTGTGCCGAGGTCTCTAATGGGCCCACGTGACAAGAGCCCTTGGCTTTAAGATGAGGCCTGAAGTGTGGAGCTGCCTCAGGGATCCAACAGGCACCAGGAGCTCAGGCCCAGCACCCGCCTGCGGCCAGCACCACTCGGCATCACCCCACCTCGTAAGGCCTAAGTCACTGCCCGGGGCCCCGCACGGTGCCACCAGGCCCCGCTGCCCTGCCCTAACTGCCCTCTCCCCACACTGCCCCAGCCCCAAGCTGAGAGCCCTTCCCTTGGGGCAGCTGCACAGTGGGGGGTAGCGAATCCGAGCAGGAGGCTGGGCCAGGTGTGGCTGGAGAAGCTGCGTCAGGAACAAGGCTCTGAGCCAAGTGCAGAGTTGGCATCGGGAGGGGAGAAGAAGAAAACCACCCTGGGCCAGTGTAGCTTTAGGCAGAGCACAGGGAGCAAACAGCAAGGGACAGGACTGCCAGGAAAGAGCCACCCCGGAGCCCAGGGCCCACAGCAGGCCTTGGAGCCGCGCATCTTTGCCAGCTCTGCACCTCCGTCTCACTGGCCCTGGCCCTCTGGACTCAGGCCTGCACACCTGGCCAGCTCTCTTCCCATCGGCCCCCTCCTGTGTGTTAGCAGGCTAGGCTCTGCCTGGGACACTGGGGTCTCAGATTGCTAAAGGGCTTCAGTTCTCCAGACAGCCCTGCCTGCTGTCTCCCCAGAGCACGGGGTGGGGGTGGGGGCAGGGTCTCCACAGCTTCCCACGAGCACGAAGCCCCCCCCACCACCTGCCTTCTACAGTTCATGTCAGGAAAGCAACCCCGCGCTCCGCAAGACTATGCCCCCAACGCAGGTAACGTGCACACACTGCCAACAATTAGTACCCAGAGCATACAAAGCATTTCTTCAAAGCAAACAAGTAAAATAAAGAGCCCAAGAGAAAAATGAGATGTGAAGAGACATCTCCCGGCAGCCCGAGTGGCCAGGTGACATCTGAGAAAGGACCGTCCTCACTGGTAATCAGGGCGACAGGCCAAGATACCCTACGGAGCCACCACGTGGCCAGAACGCAGTCCACAGGCACCCACAGGACACATCAAGACGGTGCGCGGCACAGCAGCCCAGCAGCCCAGCAGCGCGCAGGAAGGCACGGGAGCTCCACAGCCCAGCAGCCTGCGGAGGGCTGACAGAGGGGGGACACCTGCACGGGAATGCCCAGAGCAGCACGGAGGGCCCACAGAGGACACCCTGATGTCCACCTGCACAGACCTCCCCACTAACAGAGACCAGTCTGGAGAACAGGCTGGGTCAAGGGCAAAGGCCACGAAAACACAGCTGGTTCCCCATGTAGCGAGCCGGACCGCAGGAGACTAAGCTATGTTGTGTGGGGACAGCGGCCAGGGTGGGGCGGGGGCTTCTGGGCCTGGTGATTTCTCCTTCTCCATCTGGGAGTGGTTTCTTGCTGTGCCGCTATAAGCCATTCGTGTGTTTTTAAACGCCTTGTGCGCACACGACATACTTCACCACTTGGGCAGTGGAGAGACACACGTCCCTCTCTTCCTTCAAAACATATATTCAGCCCTACCTCTGCTGCTCCCATGTGGTGCGGGCAGCGCTTGGCTTCCTTTAGAGCGCCCCCCGCCCCCCCGGCCAAATCTGAAGTCATTTAAAACTCTGCATAAAAGCCATAAGCCAGCACTTCCTGCCCATCATAGCCTGACCCCCAAGTCTGGTCGTGCCAACTCCCTGGCGCCTCCCTCACAAATGGTGCTGATTCCAAGGGGGTCCGATCTCCCCGAAACCAAAGGAGGTGACTCCTGGCAGCACCAGCTGCAGGGAGCAAGACGCAGGCCACACACAGGGGGCAGCCACCCGGGGCCTAGGACCACTTGTCCCATGACAGGAAGGTGGACCAGGGGCTGCTGTCCACTTCAGAGTAAACTTCAGCCAATTTATTGCAAGACTAGTGAAATACAGGTGTGTCCTGAGGTTCCTCAAAATACTCAATTTGAGCAAATATTCCTGGAAACTTGTGGGAACAGCCCCAGCGCTCACTGGCCTGACTTGGCTGGATCGGCTGCCGTACGTGTCCCGTGCTGGGCGGGTCCCTGACACACCGGGAGATGCCGGAAGCTGTGGCTTTGGGACCGGGACCTGGGCACACTTACCCAATGTATTGCAGCGGGTGGCTCTGGTGGATCACGATCCTACACGTGGGGCAGGTGTTGTTCTCCTCCAAATACTTGACCAGGCAGCTCCGACAGACTGCAAAAGCACACTTGTGTCAGAAAGTAACCCGGGAGGGAGATGCCAGCACCCCCTCGGGCTCGGCACACACGGGGGCTGAGGCGCAGGCCACCTCGCACGTGGCTGCTGTGATGAAGCAGCCACCTCTCAGGTCTCAGCAACGACGGAGAAGCCCCAGGCGCTCAGTCAGCGGCCTCACTCGGCAGATTTGAGGTGCAGGGATAAGAGGGGCGAAGAACCTAAGTGAATAGGTGTTCAGAGGCCAAGAGCTGAGAAATCATCAGAAAGTACTTGTCTCCCCCAAATATCTTCACCATAGGGGCCAATAATTACAATTTTCATGTGTGTAAAAAAAGATCACAAGATTTTCTTTGTACACCAAAATTCAAGGCAATTCAATGAAAATAATAATCCAAAAACTATAGTTACCTTTAAAATGAAAGTTCTACCTAAGGGGTCAAATATTTTATTTTCTGAAGTGGAAAACACACAGTCAAAAGTCATCTGCATTACACGCATCGGCTGTATTGCAAGGACCCTATCTACACGGCGTGCCTACCACAGCCAGCGGAGACACTCCGGCCTGACTCCTCAACCACCCCAGCGGTGACTATGCTTCGGGGTAAACAGCAGCATCTCCTGCTGAGCTGGGGCATTAAAACCACAAGCTCAGCACAGCTAAGAGTCTTCTAAACATCAGAACACAGGCTTATTAGTCGTGAGGAGCCGAACCACATTCTTGTGTTTAAAACGTTTAAGGAATTCATTTGGAAAAATTTAAAAAGTAAGCATTTCTGTCCACTAGAAATGAATATTCTGTCATAACAGTTACTGGTTTTGCTGTTATATAGAAATAATTAAATTTTTCCTGTACTTAGCTTTCCTAAATGGTATCTCTACTGAAATTACCCACAATGTTTTTAATTTGAAGTAATTTTTCGGATTTATTTTTAAGATCTTTATTCCTGCTTCTGTGTTTTGCTTTGTGCTTGAGCTAAAAGCTTTTGGTGGAGGAAGGAAGGAAGGAAGGAAGGAAGGAAGGAAGGAAGGAAGGAAGGAAGGAAAAATAAGAAACCACAAGTATTAAGAAAGCATAAGGCTGGAAGTTGTCAAAGGCCACGTTCTAGAACATTCCGCCATACACATATGCAGACAGTCCACACACACCTCCCACAGGTGTCAAAGGGATGTTCTAGATCATTCCACCATACACATATGCAGATAGTTCACACACACACACACACACCCACAGCTGTCAAAGGCCATGTTCTAGAATATTCTCCACGTACACGTATGCAGACACTCGGTCACCGTGGTCGCGTCGATGAGATATCCACTGCACAGGCGGCAGGTGATGTGGGCATTTATGTCCCAGAGTTTAATCTTTCTGGTCAACATCTTTGGCTTCTAGAAGAGAAAACCAGTATCAATATCTGAAATACTCCCATGTGTTGTCAAAGGTTCAGGCTAAATGTAAATCAAGTTACGGCACATCCTTCCAGGAGGGCACAGCATCATGTGGACAGAGGCTGCCACCTGCCACGGCAGGTCCAAGCCACAAAGGCTCTGTGGGCCGACTTCCGTCTGGAGAAGGAACTGCCAAAAGTCCTCTCACAGAGGACTGGGACTGTCCCGCCGAACACCTGATGGGCAGCACTCTGCAAACGTTACTATTCCCTTAACCACCTGTGGCACTGTCCCTCTCGGCTCCCCTGACCCCTCCTGCTCAGGACTGAGCTGAGGCCAGCTGGTGAGGCGGCAGGCAAGTGAAGGAGGATCGTGAAGGTGCAGGGAGACAGGCTGGGAGAATAGGCGGGCTGTGCTGAGTCTGGGGCAGGAGGCTGAGGGGTCACTCCTAGAGCTCCTGGCTCTTCTGTAAACCTAGGGGATGAATGACCCCAACGGGCACCAGCAAGGGCAGCACTGGCCAAACCTGAAGGAGAAGCAAAGTCCTTCGATGAGACCTTGATACAAACAGTCACACCACGTGATTCTGACATCAGAAGGGTCAGGAAAGTCAATGTCCAGTCCCGACAAGGCCCAGGGAAGCAGGCAGTAAGAGGGGCCCAGATGTGCCCAGATGGAACAGGAGCCATCCCATTCTAGACATTTATCGTAATAACTGGACAAGTTCAACAGATGTTTGCCGCAGGGGCACCTGGGTGGCTCAGTCGGTTAAGCATCTGACTGTGGCTCAGGTCATGATCTCACAGTTCATGAGTTTGAGTCCCACGTCGGGCTCTGTGCTGACGGCTGGGAGCCTGGA